CCGAGACTCACGCCGGCGGCCGCTCATACTGTACGCCGGTTCATTGGCAAGGCCAATATGATGCCACGGGTGTGGAGAGAAGGGCACGAAGCTGAAATAGTGGAAAATGCGTAGTATTCAAGCTTTAACTTAGCAATCGGTCCGATATACTTCAGAGCACGTTCTAGTATTAACGTACGACATGGCTTTACGGTAGGCTATATTTGTATGATCTTACTATTTGACCTGAAGCGTAGTTATATGTTAATATGAGCTTTTCTAATCAATCCTTAACAATTAATAACATGTGACGCTGCGAACCCGTATTTTTCGCGTGTTTATTAGCGCGTGTTAAGTTCTGAGTGATCATCTTGACGAAGATGATGAGGTTATTAAACTTTCAGAAACAGCCGACAACAATAGAGATATCAGCGACAGTGAACTTGGAATGTGTCTAGTTGATTGGCAATTTATTATGACCGCGGCTAGAATCAGTGGTTCCTTATAATATCACTATCAATATCAATATAGGCCAAATGTTCAATATCAATATCAATGCTGGCCTTATCAATCAATATTGTTTGCTGACAAGTCTGAGTTATAGTACTTGCACATATAGGCCACTTGGTCAGCTTAACTTCGGTCGAGTAAGTACGTTATGGAATATAAAACGCACATACAATCCGACCTAAATAGTTAAATCGTGTTGAGTTTACATCCTTCTTCATTATTTCTCGACTGCTTTATACTACCATGAAATTTCCGTACATCATCATTCACTTTCTCGCAGTGACGGGATTCGCAAGCCCAATGGACGAGGAGCAGCAAACAACCCTAGAAAGGCGCCAATACTGCAATCAATTCGGCGGCTGTCAGTCACAAGCAACAACAACGCCAGCTTAGTGAGTCCTTCCAATTAGCCAGGCCTAACCCTAATACTAATCTATAGTACTAGAACCCGCCGCTACTCCTACTCTCCCAACAGCTGCTGCCGACTTAAGGATAATTATATCTGCAATTTCAATATATAGCGGATAGAAAGATGCTATCGGATAATTCGCTTGTATATTGGTTGTGTTGTTGGAAGGCGACCTGGGGGGAAAGGGTTTCAATGTGAAATTCTGGCAACAAGTAACTAAGGCGCACCTGTACACCCGAAGGGCATTCTATTCAATCAGAGACCATCGAACACAATCTCTCCCAATTGGCTGTTTCAGTGCATTGTCGATAGCGTATGCATACAATGATAAGGTCAGAGCTCCTCATAGTCACGCGATGGAAAAATGCCCCGACCGCAGAGCGTACCATTCCAGCGTTCGATTCCGGAAGTCAGGGCGTACATACTTCAATAGCAGTCTAACAACCCGGTATGTTCATAAGTGGCAGCAAACAGCAATGCCGCCAATCCAGAGGAATCGAAACTCTTCCATTGTTAAGCAAGAATTCTGTAATAGACGCAGAACCGCAATAGGCAGCAACATCTAACACCGTTCGTCCCCGGCGGTCCGTTATGTTGACACCAATGTCGTCGTGTGCAAGACGCACCTTCATATTTTCTTCTTTTTCCGGATGGCAGGCTTTAACAGAGGCTTGCCGCGGTCCGTACCCCTCAGGCCGTTGACTAGGACATTGCTATCCTGAAGTAGTTTTCGGACGGCTTCTGTGCGGCCCTTTGCTGCAGCCAGTGTGAGAGGCCGCAGGCTACGGCGGGCGTTTTGAGAGTTCAGGTGGTCGCTACTGGCATTGCAATGTTAACCAACGCGTTAGCAAGCTCGTCATCAAAGGGAGGGTGGTGATGCTATAAGGGAAGGGGGGAGCAAAAGGAATCCTATTATAATTGATGGTCGACTAACCAACTTAAAATTTCGGCTTGTTTCTTTCTTAGTCCAGTTCGGTTTTTTTCGTATCGACAGACCTGGGCAAAAGATCGTCGGCGGCCGGGCGGATATAGCGGATCAAGTCACGGAACGCCTGCTGTTCGACGTGGGCAAAGGGGAGGCTGCAGGATACCGTGTAGCGACAGTATAGCTCACGCAGAGTGACAGGACTCAAGGCATCTTCCTCCATAGCCACCTTGCGTTTTCTAGTGGGATGGAGGTTCCCTCCCAACAAAAAGGCAGAAATACTTCCAAGACGGCTTTTTGTTACCTCCGTGCTGGCCTCGCGTTTGCTGGAGACCACAATGTTGTGCTCCTTGCGCAGGTGCGTAACGATGGTCGACGTACCGCCTAAATATTTGTATCGCTTTGCCCTTTTCTTGTCAAAGCAGGGCTGGTAGTGCCACCATCGCGTGCTGTCAGCGTCGATCCAGGCAGCTGGATTGATCTTGCCCTCCGCCGGGCGGCAATGAGCCCAAATCGAGGCTGTCTTTTGGCGAAAGACGCTCGATGCCACCACCTCGGGTGATGGTGCTATCGAAGCGGTCGACGTAAATGTCGACAGCTCATGCATCTGAACGGCGGTGCCTCACCGAATTCCCGGATGAATTTCTCCTGCAGATCGTAAACTACTTGAATAACAAAGATTGCAGCCACTTCTTGCCAGTGTGTCGTCGTTTCCTTTACCTCTTGATCTACGACTATCACCGATACGATAACCATGGTCGGACGCTTCTGATCACAGCGGCCGCTCTGGGACATGTGAAGTCGGTTATAGACTTGCTTCTAGC